TCCCCACCCTTGGTCTAATCCTTCTTCCCAGGGACAGCCCTTCATATATTTAAAGACCACCAGCACAACCCCACAACCCCCAAACCCAAGTCTTCATTTCTCCTTCCAGTTCTTTCAGCCACTCTCCAAGAAACCTGGGTTCAAACCCAAGCCCTGAAGTCCCCTAGTTATACACACCTGAGCGAGTCCTTCCCTGAACCTCAGTTTCCCCATCTGTAAAAATGGGCATAGTAATAAGGGCACTGCCTCCGTCCCTTAGGGCACTCCTTCTGTGATTCCCTGACACAGTTTATTGGGCAGTGACTGTCCCCTTTTTCATCTGTACTCCAGGAGTGGGCAGAGGAGGGAGAGGATTTTATGTGATAGTAAATTCACTGCTGAAGGACAAGAGACACATTAATTCTTTGAAAGAGAGAATGAGCCAGCAGCGTCCCCCCAGCAACACTCACTCTTTCTCCAAGGCAGCCAGCCAAGCACCATCATTGAGGCGGTGCTGGAAACCACTTGGGTTGTTCACTAGTAACTAAGGTGATAGATTCTCCTAGAGAGGAAATTCATCTCCTCTCAGATTTCCTCCCTCAAGGGTTCCACTGATTCATGATGCTGCTGCAAAGGCCACAGACCCTAGAACTTGGCTGTTAAGGATCCGGGAAGGGCTCAGAGCCAGAAGGTCAAGGGAAGGGTCCCATCCCAGCTGTAAGTTACTGACTGCATCTAAGATCTAGAAAAATGTTTAAGGATATTCTATTGAGAGGCAACATTGTCTAGTGGATACAGCACTGAACTTGGAGGCAGAAAGACCTGGGTTCAAATGCTGCCTCAGATACTTGCTGGCTATGTGACCGTGGGCAAGTCATTTAAACTCTTTAGGTCTCAGTTTCCTCCTCTGTAAATGATGGGCAGAGGGAGGTTGGCCTCCATGAACTTTTAAGGCCCCTTCCAGCTGTAAATCTACAATCTTATAAAGTTACTCTCCAGCTTGGAGCCTCAGTTTCCTTGTCTGTAAAATGAAGAGATTATGGTCTGAAGTACTGGCTTTCTGGGGTCCCTTCTGGCTCTCAGCTTTTGCTTCCTTATGATGTCATTGGTCCTCTTTAAGAAGGAAGGATGAGAAATCCGGCCTCAGACACTTGACACTTTCTAGTTGTGTGACCCTGGGCAAGTCACTTAACCCCATTGCCTAGCAAAAAAAAAAGAGAGAGAGAGAGTTTGTCCAATAGGACAAACTATAACAGCTCAGTCCCTATGGCACGTTGAAGTTTACAAAGCACTTCATATATTTTCATATGTATTTATATATTTTGGTGGAGAGGGGGTCCTGGATGTGTGACTTCATTAGTGTAAGAAATTCCTAGTGTGGAAATTCCCTCACTAAGGCAACAAGTTTATGGACTTAGAAAATGGCCTGAGTCACTGGGGAGGGGAGGCGTTATCGAGGGCAAGACCTGAACCCAGGTCTTCCATCAAGGCTGATCTTATACCCACTAGGCCTTGCTGCCTCTCTTTTCTTTTTTTCTCATCTCATAGAGAGTAAGCTGATGTGGTAGATAGAAAGTTGGCCTCAAAGCCAGGAAGACCTGAGTTCGAATCCCATCTCTGACGCATCCTGGCTGAGTGTTTCTGAGCAGATCACTTAGCTTCTCAGGGGTTACGCTGTAAGTGGCAGTATGGCTGACCCATACTGATAAAAGGAGTTTCCTCACTCGGGGGTCTTCTATACCAATAAAATCACAAATCCAGTCCCTATTCCTATTCATTTACATATTGTACCTTATCTCTTTATAATTTAATTATATATAATATCATATCATATAATTATTACTGTGTAATATTATGTTATATATAGTATTATATATACTATATATAGGATTATATAATAATAATAATAATGTGCAATATAATAGAAATATATTGGTAAAAACCAGGTGGAGGAAGACGGCCTCTTGTGTGGACCGTGTCGTGCAGTGCATTTGGGAGGACAGACTAGGTCGGTCATCCATCAGGACCGATTCCGTAGAAAGTGAAGCATGCCCAGAATTGAGCAAAGGGCAGTGGGATTGCCTTCAGGAAATTGCAAAGTGCTTTTAATGACCCTAATCTTCTCCCACAAACAAAAGCCCATCTTTTCAGGACATTCGAGGTAATATTGTGTGACTGTGAGTCATAGAACACTTCATTCCCCAAAGGATTGAAGCTGGGAGTCACCCAAAGGGCAATGGGGATTCTGGCAGTAGGCGAAGGCGGCTGCGAAGATGATAAATGACCCAAGAGAAGTGGTGCAAAGGGTGTCATCCAAGAAAAGAGCTGGACTAGGTGGGTGGCAAGAAGCAGCTAGGAGGCCTGACTTACAGTCAAGAAGGCCTGACTTCCACCCCACCCCACACACTTACTAATTTGGTGACCCTAGGAATGTCTCTTCTACTGTCTCGGCCTCAGTTTCCTCATCTGTAAAATAAGGCAATTCTGCTTGATGGTCTCTAAGATCCCTTCCTTAGGGATAGGGCCTGCAGTCTGGAAGACCTGAGTTCAAATCCAGCCTCAGACATTTACTAATTCTGTGATCCTGGGCAAATAACTTAACTTTTATCCGCCTCAGTGTCCCCAACTGTAAAATGGGGATAATAACAGCACCTACCTCCCAGGGTAGTTGTCAGGATCAAATGAAATGTATTTGTAAAGTGCTTAGCACAGTGCATGGCACATAATAGGCACTTAATAAATGCTTGTTTCCTTTCAATGCTTGGTCCCTTCTAACTTGACCTATCTATATTCTAACATTCTCTGTTCTAGGGCCCCTGGAACCTCTAACATACTATGCCCTAAGATCACCTTCAACTCTAATATTCCATGCTCAAAAACTCTTATATTCAGTCAAGTAAGCAAGCATTTATTATGCACTTACTGGAGATACAGAGAATACAGAGAGAAAAGCAAAATGATCCCTGCCCACAAGGAGCTAACAGAGAAGTTACCGTGCACATATATAGGTGTGCACAGAGAACAGATAAAGTGGATGAAAGGTAACTTTGGAAGCAGCTGAGGGAAGCAGTGAAGCCTTCCAGAAGGTGGTGCTCCCACTGAGTCATGGAAGAAAATGGGCATTCCGTATTTTAAAGACTCTTCTAGTTCTGACGTTCTTTATTCTAAGGAACCATGGAGCCCTGACATCCTGTATTCTAAGGGCCTTCCCAGCTCTGACATCCTGTGTTCTAAGGTCCTGTGCAAACCTTAAAGCACTATATAAATGCTAGCTATGATTACTAACATTTGGAGTTCTATGAATAACTATCAGCTCTAGAATTCCACTCTACCCTGAATGATCTTGAGCCTTGATCCTTCCCTGGCTGGGGAATAGGAAAGCTGCCGTGCTTTGGTTTTCATGGGAACTCTCGGGTTCAAGACAGATTCCCAAGTCAGCACAGAAAAGACTGCATTCTACCCAGAAACATTACGTATTATACATTCTTCCTCTGCCTGAAGCCCCAGCTTGGGGGTGGGGGACGGGGGGGGGGGGATGCTGTAGAAAAGTCCCCAAAGCAGGGCGGGGCATCAAGGGAGACAGCGTTGCTTTCTGCCCATGTCCTAGTGCTGCTGTCTGATGGTCCCTTACAAAGCTTCCTTTCTGTTCTGAACCATCTCTCTGATCTCCTTGAGCTCAATTCCTGGGGCTTTCATGAGGAATCCAGCACAAAATTAAATGGCCCAGGGCCCGGAAAGGGCATGGAGGTTTGATGATCAGCTAAGCTATTATCTTCCATGTGAAGGCTCTAAGTCCCCATGGCTTGTTCATCATTTCTGAAGACGAAGGTATCCCAACAAGCCTCCACCTGCAACTGTCCCTCTTCCCCAGTGGAAATCTGCCTGGCATACAATAGGTGCTTAATAAATGCTTGTTGATTGAAATCTTTTATTTCCTGTCCTCCTTGACTGTGAGCCTGAGGTGTGTGTATTTATGCCTCAGTGCTCTGCATACAGTAAGCATTCAATGTTTGCTGAATTAACTGATTGAGCTCTGCTGATTCTGAGAAAAGGCTCCACGTACTGCCAAACAGATTCATAACATCTCGAAGTTGAGTTCCTGCCTAAAACTGGGGAAGGAACAAACATTTATTAAGCACCTACTATGTGCCAGGTGCTGTGCTAAGTGCTTTATAAATATTATCTCACTTGATCCTCACATTGTACCCGAAAGGTACACCTAAAGATTCTAGCATCATATATCATTTTTCCTTCCTTCTCAGTGAGTGTGGAAGGGTTGGGAGGGAGAAAAATAATTTGGAACTGAAAATTGGAGGAAAAAAAAAGAATGCAAAAAAAAATAATAAAATGAAATTTTTTAAAAAAGGATTCTAGTATCATGGAATTTAGACCCAGAAAGGACCTTGGGACAGTAAGTCAATAAATGTGTTTTAAACACCAAGCACTAGGGATACAAAGAAAGACAAAAGACAACCCCTCCTCTCAAGAAACTCACGGTCTATGGGAGAGACAGTTTGCAAAGAGCTATGTACAAACAAGTTACATACGGGTCAAATTGGAGATGATTAATCCAGGGAAGGCACTCGAATGAAGACAGGTTAGGAAAGGCTTACTGTAGAAGATGGTATTTTAGCTGGGACGTGAAGGAAGCCAGGGAAGCAGGGAGGTAGAGATGAGGAAGGAGAATATTCCAGGCATGAGGGACAGCCAGAGAAAACTACCAGAGCCAAGCCAGGACAAGGGGCAGCTAGGTGGCACAATGGATAGAGCACTGGTCCTGGAGCCAGGAGGACCTGAGTTCAAATCCAGTCTCCGACACTTAGTAGCTGTGTGACCCTGGGCAAGTCACTTAACCCTACTTGCCTCCGTTAATATCCCACTGTACCTAAGACTCAGGCCTAAGTTTCCTGACTCTGCCACCCATTAGCTGTGTGACCTTGGCCAAGGTTAATTTCCCCTCTCTAGGCTTCATCTACAAAATAGTGGATGTCCAACTGTGACATAATGTTTCCTGCCCTCAGATTGCCAAGGGATCATCGAGGACGTTATCCTTCTCGGAGCACCCGTGGAAGGAGAAGCCAAGTACTGGAAGCCGCTCAAGAAGGTGGTGTCTGGGAGGATCATCAATGGCTACTCCAGGTGTGTCTAAAAGTGTTTGTTTCACTGTGGGATGAGCACCACCTGGCCTAACGCAGTTCAGGGAACCTTCATGGGTCATCTTGAAACTTGGGTTCAAAAAACCAGCCTTAAAGTGGAAGAACTTAGCTCATCTGAAAAGGATCTGGGCATCTGAGTGGACTACAAGCTAATTGGAGTCAGTGAATCCTGCGGGAGCCAGAAATGCTTGTGGTATTTGGGGCTACATTTAGAGAAAAATAAGGAAGCGTTGGTCCATCTCTCCTTTGCCCTGTCAGGCCACATGGGGAGTATTGTCTTCTGTTCTGGGTGCCACGTTTTAGGATGGACAGTGATGAGCTAGAGCAACAGTTGTCAAACTTGGGGGGCTCAGGACCCCCTTATACTGAAAAGATCTCCCCAAAGGACTTTTGTTTATGTGGGTTATATCTCTTGATATTTGCCATATTAGAAGTTAAAATGTCAGGAGTTTTATGAAAATAGTTTTGACTCTGAGGACCCCCTGAAAGGGTCTTTGGGTCTCTCAGGAGACCCTGGATCACACTCTGAGAACCGCTGATCTAGAGATGGAGCAGAGGAGGCTGACCCGGACGGTGAAAGGCCTAGAGTCTGTTGCTTAGGAGGATTGTAAGAAGAATAAGGGATGTGTAGCCTAAAAAAAAAGGGGGACTTTTTCGGGAAGGACATCATAGCAGTGTTTAAGTGTGTGAGGAGGAATGAGCCTTGTTTGGGGCCCTGGAGAATAGCACAAGGAGAAGTGGAGAGGAAATCTCAAAAAGGGACAATCAATCAGTAAACATCTATTAAGTGCCTGCTGTGTGCCACCCGGAACGGAAAGGTCTGCCCTGGGCGGTGATGAGTACCCCTTCACTGAGGGTCTTCGAGCAAAACCCAGATAAGACGATGGCTTCCCTGGTAGTTAGTAAAGGAAATTCCTGTCTAGTTCTAGGTTTCACTAGGTGCTCACTGAAACACTGTGATTCTGAGCCCCTGCCCTGATAAGAACTGTGCATGGTAGTCAATGAGCCTGACCACAAAAAGGGAGAGGCTGTATTTAAGAGTGATGCTATCAGGGCTGCTAGGTGGCGCCATCACACAGAGCACCGGCTCTGGAGTCGGGAGGATCCGAGTTCAAATTTGACCTCAAATACTTACTAGCTGTGTGACCCTGGGCAAGTCACTTAACCCTGATTGCCTGGGGAGGGGAGGGCCGGGCAGGGAAGAGAGTGATGCTATCCTGGGTATATGCAAATGAATCACAGCACAGCAACAGTCCACCAGCAGAGAGAAGCAGCAGGGGACCCTGTGAAGCCCTGGATGTGGGAATGAATGAATTAAGACATCTCTCTCCCTTCCAGTAGGGTTTCCACAATGAAATGAAGCTCTCTTGAAGTATATTATTGCTCACATAATTGGGGTTGGGTTGTCTTTTGTTTGTTTTTTTACATTTCACAAACTCTAAAAGAAAAATAAAATAAAATAAAAACAAGCAATTAAAATCTTACACTCCGAAGGAAAGCACAGCTTTATTAAAAACATCTATTTTGTCAAAAGCAGGGTTTGAGAAAGGGTGGTTTTCATATCTCTTATGAATTTAGGGTCTCTTATTATCCTGTTTATTAAAAAAAAAATTTTAACCATTATTTAGCCTAACCAAGAAATGGAAATAGAGGCCCCAACTTCCTTTGTTTGACCTTCAGAAGGTCACAGATGTGGCTCCAATTAAAATTGCTGAGAGGACCCTGAGAGCACAGAATGTCAGAGCTGGCACATCTACAGTGCCTTTAGCTTTGCAAAGAGTTTTTGCACATGTTCTCACTAGAATCTTAGCTCACAACTACCCTGCGTGGTAGGTTCTATTATTATCTCCTTTTTATGTATGAGGAAACTTAAGAAGAAAAAGATTGTCCAGGGTTGCCCAGTGACTAAGAGTCTGATGGAGTATGGGAATTTGGGGTTTTTTATTTCAAGTCCAATATTCTATCCCTCTTGTTACCTAACTGTCCCTCTTAGCTCTAACATTCTGTGTTCTAAGGGCCCTCCTAGCTCTGACATTCTGTGTTCTAAGGGCCCTCCTAGCTCTGACATTCTGTGTTCTAAGGGCCCTCCCAGTTCTGACATTCTGTGTTCTAAGGCCCCTCTAAGAACCCCATCCAGAGTTCTAAGGGCCCTCCCTACTCTGACATTTCTGTGTTCTAAGGGCCCCCCTTACTCTGACATTCTCTGTTCTAAGGTTCCTCCCAGCTTTGACATTCCATGTTCTAAGGGCCCTCCCTGCTCTGATATTCTCTGTTCTAAGGCCCCTTTCATCTCTGGTTCTGTACTGTAAGGGTCCTTCCCTCTTTGACATTCTATGTCCCAAAGTTGCCTCTTGCTGTAACGCTATATTCTATGTTGAAGTTCCCTTCCAGACATAGAACTCTGAGACTCAGATATCACATGAGCAGGCTCTTCCCCAGAGTTAGAGAGAGTAGAAATAAAGCCAATCCCTTACCCTGCTGTGTAGGCCCTGGGATTGGAGCTCCTCAGAAGCTCTGTGGAGACAAACAGCTGCCATGACGAAAATTCAATTTTACTTTCAAGTCATTTGAATGAACACCGGTGGGCTTTGCCCTGAGTGTAAAGCCAGCCTTTGTGGACTATAATAGAGGATAGAAAAAGGAACAATTACATACTTTTCTTTTTGATCCATTACTGGGGGCCAGAGCTGCCTTGCTATCTCTCCCCTCAGCCCCTAAAAAATCCCCGATTAGTCATTCCTTCGAATAACTGAATTGGCTTGGGAGACTGAGGTTTATTGATGTGTGGCAGAATAATTGTGCTTCCATTCAGCACCCTGAAGATACTGAATTTGATAACGTCAAAGTCTTCTAAGAGTTTCACAGCTTGAATATGCTGAAAAATACATAGCAGAGGCATAGTCCAGACAGAAACAGAGAGAGACTGCTGGGGAGAGACAGAGAGAGAGGAGGGGGAATAAACACAAAGAGGAGAGGGAGTGGAGGGAAGGGAGAGGAAGACAGAGGGGGAAAAGAAAAAAAATTTAAGGAGAGGGAGGGGAGAAACAGGCAGGAGGGAAGGAAGGGGGGAGGAGAGAGAAAGGAAAGGAGAGAGAGAGAGAGAAGAGGAAAAAGAGGAGAAACAGAGGAAGGAGAGAAGGGAGAAAGAGAGAAAGAAAGAGGGAGATCAGGGTGCCCCAATTCTCTTTTTTCCTTAAAGCTTAGAGATAACAGGGCCAGATGGCACTAACCAAAAATATTCTCTGTCTCCCCTGCCTCTCTGTGAGACCTTTACCAAGTCCTGCTGCCTCTTTGGGTCTCGTTTCCTTTTCTATGAAATAAGGGATTGTATGTTCAACCTCAGTTCTACCTCTAACTTCCTTTGTGACTCTGGCCAAGTTACTTTCCCTTCCTGGGCCTCAGTTTCCTCATCTATAAAATAAAAGCTGGAGTGCATTATTTCTTTATTTAATTCAATTTTTAAAATTCTGAACTTAATCAACATCCTCACAAAAATGAGCATTTCCCTAAACGAAATAAAATACTACTTCATAGAATATGGATTCTGGGAAACCCTGAATCATTGTGGAATAGAGTGTTTCATTTAAAGTCCCTTTTAGCTCTAATGTTCAATGCTCTAACTTTCCTTCAAGTTCTGACATTGTGTGTTCTGAGCTCCCTCATTTCCGTGAAATTCTGTGTTCTGAGGCCCATTGCTTCTGCCTCCTTTGCTGCATCCTACCCCAGATCATGCCTTCTAACCATAGGTGTCAGGGCTCTGTCCTAGGTCCTCTTCTCTTCTCCCTCTGTACCGATTCACTTGAAGATCTCATCACCTCCCATGGATTTAATGACCATCTCTATGCTGATGATTCTCAAATCCCGCCCCCACCTGCTGCCGACCTCCAGTCTTGCATCTCCAACCGCCTTTCAGAAATTTCAAACTGGATGTCCAGTAGATACCTTAAACTCGACTTGTCCAAAACAGGACTCATTCTCTTTCCTCCCAAGTTTCCTCCCTTCTCCTACCTTCCCTATTACTGTAGAGGGCAACACCATTCTCCCAGTCCCTCAGGCTAACAACCCGGGCATCATCCTGGACTCCTCACTATCTCTTACCCCTCCCCCCAATATGGAATCTTTTGCCAAGGCCTGTCAGTTTCACCTTGGCAGTATCTCTCGATATGCCCCCTTCTCTCCTCCTTGTCCCTGCTCTGGAGCAGACCCTCATCACCACATGCCTGGATAATAACAATAGCAATAAGCTGCCGGGGGGGTGTACCTATCCAAAGTCCCTCCCCACTCTAGACCATCCTCCATTCAGCCGCTTAAGTGACTTTCCAAAGCACAGGTCTGACCATGTGGCCCCCTCATTCAATAAACTCCAAGATCAAATCCAAGATGCTCTGCTTAATATACACAGCCCCTCGTAACCTAGCTTCTTTCTGCCTTTCCAGTCTTTTTGTGCCTTATTCCCAGATACATACTCTTGGGTCCAGTGACACTGACCTCCGAATTGCTCCACAAACAAGACACTTTGTGTCTTAACTCTACATTTTCTCTGGCCCTCCCCCATGCCTGGAATGTTCTCCCTCCTCTGCTCTAACTATGGACTTGCCTGGCTTCCTTTAAGTCTCAACTAAAGCCCCACCTTGTACAGAAAATCTTCCCTAACCCCTCTTAATTCCAGGGCCTTCCCTCTTTTAATTATTTCCTATTTATCCTGTATATGCCTTGTTTGTATGTATCTGTTTGCGTGTTGTTTCCCTCTTTGACGTTCTATGTCCCAAAGTTGCTCTTGCTCTAACACTATATTCTATGTTAAAGTTCCCTTCCAGACACAGAACTCTGAGTCTCAAATATCACATGACCAGGCTCTCCCCAGAATTAGAGAGGGTAGAGATAATGCCAATCTCTAATCCTGCTTTTTTTTTTTTAACGTTTAGATTGTAAGCTCCTTGAGGGCAGGGGCCATTCTTTACCTTTTTTTTTTTTGTATCCCCAAAGATTAGCACAGTGCCTGACACAGAGTAAACACTTCACAAATGTTTGTTGACCGATTGGTTGACATTTTATATTTTAAGGCCCCTCCCAGCTCTGACATTCTCTGTTCCAAGGGCCCTTCCAGCTCTGACACTCTGTGTTCTAAGGGCCGTCCCAGCTCTGACACTCTGTGTTCTGAGGGCCCTTCCTGCTCTGACATCCTGTGCTCTAAGGGCCCTCCCAGCTCTGACACTCTGTGTTCTAAGGGCCCTTCCTGCTCTGACATCCTGTGCTCTAAGGGCCCTTCCAGCTCTGACACTCTGTGTTCTAAGGGCCCTCCCAGCTCTGACATTCTCTGTTCTAAGGCCTCTCCCAGCTCTGACATCCTGTGTTCTAAGGGCCCTCCCAGCTCTGACATTCTCTGTTCTAAGGGTCCTCCCAGCTCTGACATCCTGTGTTCTCAGGGCCCTCCCAGCTCTGACATCCTGTGTTCTAAGGGCCCTCCCAGCTCTGACATTCTCTGTTCCAAGGGCCTTCCCAGCTCTAATACTCTGTGTTCTAAGGGCCCTCCCAGCCCTAACAAACTGTGCTTCCCTGATTTCTCCAGTCGTAACAGGAGAGGAGGCCCTTGACCGTGTGCTGATTAACATTATCGTCTCCCCATTTGCTGATGTTCATGCTCTCTGTTGACTATAGTAACAAGTCTCCTAGCTGGTCTCCTTGCTTTCAGTCTCTTCTTCGCCACTCCTGTCAGTCCATCATTCTTATGACTCTCTTCTTAGAACATTGGTCTGATGGAGTCACTCTCTGGCTCAGATTCCCCCAGGGGTTCCCTATTGACCATAGGATAAAGCACCAGCTTCTTTGCCTGGCATTGAAGGCCCTCTATCCTCCAGTTTCACCTTACCTTTTATGCCTCATTTCACTCTACTTTCCTTCCCATACATTACTTTTTGGTCAAAGTAGACCCCTAACAGCTTCCCAATGTCCTCCTGCCCTTTCCTACCTATGTGCATCTGCTCAAGTCATCCTCCGAGCATAAGAATGTCCTCCATGGCTCTGCCTATTGATCTCTCTATGGAGATCTAAGGATTATAGACCTGCCTGTGGCTGGCTCAAGTGCCACTTCTTCAATCAGTCAAGCATGAAGTGCTTACTATGTACCAACGAAGGACGAACAACAATTTTTATTGTTGATGTTCCGTGATGCCATTGGTCTTCTTTGAAAACCAAGGACAAACAACAGCACTGCATACCAAACACTATGCTGAGTGCTAGGAATACCTCAAAAGGCAAAAAACAAAAAATCCTGCCCTCAAGGAGCTTATATTCTAATGGAGAAGACAACATTTGCAAATAACTAGGGATATGCAAGATATATACAGCATAGATGCAGGCAGTCTTAGAGGGGAAGATGCTGCCAGCTGAGAGGTCAGAGGAAGACATCCTCCACAGATACTGCCCCAGTTTCCCCAATGAAAAGGGATCTTTCCCTCATCAGATTTTTTACAACACCTCGTCCGTATCTTGGCCTTGTCCAAGGGTATGCTGGAGCCAACTTGATTTTGTTTCATTGATTGTCTAGACTTAAGAAAGTGATGGAGAAAATATTAATACTGTAAACTTTAAAATGCATCATTTAAACTTTTTTTTGGAGACTTAATTATGAAATGCTTTCCGGCATGCTCCTGCTTACCATAGTCTAGTTATCTGTGCTCTTCCTCCTCTTCTTCTTTTTTTTTTAGGCAATTGGAGTTAAGTGACTTGCCCAGGGTCACACAGATAGTAAGCGTCAAGTATTTAGTCTAAGGCCAGATTTGAACTCAGGTCCTCCTGACTTCAGGGCCAGTGCTCTATCCACTGCGCCACCTAGCTGCCCCCTGTTTGTACTCTTGCTATACCTCCCTCCTGCCAGTTCTGCCCCATTGAAGACTACAAGCATGAGAAACTATACTGGTGTTTCCTCTCTGTGTCCCCAGCAATAAGAACAAGGCCTAAAACATAGTGGGCACTGAATTTTTGGGAAAAGGAAATGAAAACAAAATTAAACGGCTCTTATCCCACAATCAATAAGCATCAAAGGACAAGGTTTTATGCTCCCTCATCCCTCTTAGGCTCTGAAACCAAAACACTGAGTTATATCCACATGTAGGAGTATGCTGGAGCCAACTCATGAGAGCTGATTGCTAAATTTTCACTGTGAGCATTTGCTCCTAGGAAATAGGCAAATGCATAGATCTGGGCTTGGTTTGTTGTTTTGTTGATTGTCAAAACTTAAGGAAGTGATGGAGAAAATAAATGTTCATAATACAGATTAAACTTAAAAGTGTGATGTGGGTACATCCCTGTCTCCCCCCCCCACAGCTGATTGTTAAACACTTACCAGCACAACCCTGTCCATGCCCTTAAAGGGAAATATGAACCAAGCAGACAGGAAGCTTAAGAAGAGAAGAAGAAAAAGGAGATGAGCTTAGGCTGGGACTCTGTACCATCTGATAGGAGATGCTGTTGATTCCCAGCAATGAAGAGAGAAAAGAAGGGTATGATGCTAGAAACAGGAAACCCCCTGCATTCATCTGCTACAAAGGGAAATGAACATAGCCATGCGCAATTTTGAAAAAAGCATTTGAAAGGGAAAGATAAATTATTTGGGACTCATTGTTTTCTGTTATCCACAGAATTTTAGAATTTAGAATGTCAGAGCTGGGAGGGCCCTTAGAACACACAATGTCAGAGCTGGGAGGGCCCTTAGAACACAGGATGTCAGAGCTGGGAGGGGCCTTTAGAACAGAGAATGTCAGAACTAGGAGGGCCCTTAGAACACACAATGTCAGAACTTGGAGGGCCCTTAGAACATGAAATGTCAGAATTGGGAGGGCCCTTAGAACATGAAATGTAAAAGCTGGGTGGGCCCTTAGGACACAGAATATCAGAGCTGTGAGAGTCCTTAGGACACAGAATGTCAGAGCTGGGAGAGCCCTTAGAACACAGAATGCCAGACCCGGGAGGGCCCTTAGAACACTGAATGTAATGAGAGACCTTTTCGATAGACTGTTTGGTCTAACTGAACTGTTATTTTTTTCTTCCCTTTTTAATTCTTTGTTATAAAGAATGACTTTCTGGGAGGGGGAGGGAAACATTTGGAAATGTAAGGTATGCAAAAATAAGAGATAGCAATAAAAATGTATTTTCACAAAAAGCCAAAAAAAATTGTTGAATTAAATTGAATTGATGAGTTGGGTTGATAGAGTCCCCACCAGACGGTGACTTGCCTTTCGCTTGTTCCCCTCCCAGGGGAGACTGGCTGCTGAGTTTTGTGTACCGAACGTCCTCTGTGCAGCTGAAAGTGGCCGGGCTCCAGCCTGTCACCCTGGATGACAGGAAGATGGTCAACATGGACTTGTCAGCAGTGGTAAGTGTGAGTTTTGTGGGGATTAAAATTATGCAGCCTACAATAAAAGAGACAGAGGCAGAGCTCTGAGCCAATGGCACTTTATTAAAGGGTCCATGGTCCCCTCTAATGAAGTGAACCTCAGATCCTCCTCACGATCTGAGATTCACCCTTCTTCCAGTACCTTGTATTTACAGAGTTTGGTACCAAAATATGCAAAGGAGGCATGGCAAAATACAGAATCTCATTGGTTGATAGACCTTGTTCTTAAGAGCCAAAAAGGACATATCAGCATGGGGGTCACAGGATGGGTGAAGCATGGGGCATCTCCGCTGACTAAGTGGTCAGAAGATGGTCACCTGGTCGCTTTGGATAAGAGGGAATGGTCCAGAGTTACAAAAATAAATTGGCAGACTTTCCAAAGCATCAAGGAATCCCACTCATGCTGGGTTTGGACACGAAATTTGAGTAAAACAGGGTGGAGATATCTTTGTCAGCATTCACATGATTGCGCAAATGAGCCTCATAAGTTGGTAAACAAGCAGTGAACATTACATTGAAGTTTGAGAGTATCTATAAGAACTATCTATCCCAATATGATTTATGTAGAATATCAAACTGATTGGAATAGAGTAAGGGTCCAAAGGAATTATTTCTCACAGTTTGCCCTTTCCTGCTTAAGGAAGAGGGCATGGGAAGGGCTCTCTCTGCCTTGAGCTGGTGCTGTCCTGGAGGCTTTGGCTGAAAGAGGAGGTACATGCACCAGGTCTGACCTTTCCAAGAAGAGCCAAGGGACATCTGGAAAGGGAGAGAAGGGATTACCAGACTCAGACTGGCAGCAGGGCCCCTATCAGGGCTGCGAAGCCCAGGAGCCCTGCCCTTTCTCCTATTCCAATTGGCCCCTTTTTGAGAGAGACTGTCTTCTAGCCTTTATTAAGTGCTGAACAAGGCTCCAAACAGAACACAAAGGAAGCTATCCCTGCCCTCTAGGAGCTTACCTTCTCCTGGACAAGATGATAAGTAAATGGCTTGAGCAAACGAAAGAGCACCTTCCCCTGGAGGATCAGGGAAGGCTTCCTGTAGGAAGCAGCAGCTAAGCTCAGCCTTGAAAGAAGAGTGGGCAGAGGGAATGCAGTCTCCGGGAAGCCTGTGTGAATAGTAGAGGCAGGGACAGAATGTCACATACGAGGAAGAATCTTCCAGTAGAAGGAAACATTTTCTTTTTTAAATGTTCTTATGGATTTAACAAACAGGAACATTTCAATATACAAAGAATAGAAAAAGAGGATTGCATATGAGATGAGCTTCTGCTACAGTTTTTAACTGCGTATTAAATTTGACAAAGTAGTAACAAAATCGCCATGCTTTTCTGGGTGCCCTTCCGAATTCCCTTCTGCTCTCCTGTATCCAATCCTTAATTTTTCATTCACTCTCTTTTCTTTCATTCTTTCCTTCTTTCTCTCTTTCTTTCCTTTCCTTTCCTTTTTTAAATTTTGTTTATTTGTTTGTTTTGGCACTACTATTCAGCCAGGAAAGCCTTTCCAAAGTCAGGCCTCTATAATGATTATTGGATGGAGGACTAATGGTTAGACTCACTGGAAGAGGCCTTGGATCACCACGAGGACTTTGTGTTTTATATTAAAGGCCACACAAAGCTTCCTGAGCAAGAGCAGTGACTCAGTCTGAGGCTTTAAGATTATTTGGGCAGCTCTGAAATTATACGGTCTGATATTCTGTGTTCTAAGGGCCCTCCCAGCCCTGACATCCTGGGTTCTAGGTGCCCTCCCAGCCCTGACATCCTGGGTTCTAAGGGCCCTCCCAGCCCTGACATCCTGGGTTCTAAGGGCCCTCCCAACCCTGACATCCTGTGTTCTAAGAGCCCTCCCAGCTCTGACATTCTGTGTTCTAATGATCCCTCCAATTCTGATATTCTCTGTTCTAAGAGCCTTGCTATCTCTGACATTCTATGTTTCTCTTTCATTTTTGACATTCTAATTTCTTAAGAGGCAACAGAGCATAATGGATAGGAAAATGGACCAGAGTTCAAGCAGATCTGGATTCAAATCCTACCTCAGACACTTGCTAGTTGTACATCCCCAGGCAAATCACTGATCTGCTCTGTACCTCAGTTTCTTCATCTGAAAAGTGAGGGGATTATACTCGATAGCCTCTAAGGTACCCTTCACCTCTAAATCTTTGCTCCTATGATTTCAGTTCCTTTCCAGCTCTCATATCTGTGTTCTAAGGTCCTTTTCCAGGCCAAACTGGTAGGTAAATCATTTAAAAAAAAAAAAAAGCAAGAAAGAAAGAACATGAGAAATGTCTTTGGAAAATTGCAGTACTAAAGATTTCTCAATATTTTCAATGTGCCTCCCTTCCAGAACTGGCTGTGAATTTCTCAATAATAGCCTCTTTGTTTTTCCTACTGTGTTATCATGACTGAGGCAAAGCCCTGTGGGGGCCACTTCATGCAGTGATAAAGAGCTCTTTACCCTATCTGTGTTGGAAGTCCTTAGGATGAGAGGATCATGAGAGCTCAGTAGGGCCCTGGAGCGAGAGTCTCCACTTCCATTTTGGCCCTGTATGGTAGATATGTCCATGTCTATAAATATATATATATACACGTGTGTGCATGTGTGTATAAGTGCACATGCATGTGTGTGTTATATGTGCATATATGTATCTTACATGTGTGTGTGTGTCGGTGTGTAAAAACCAGACCTGTAATTTTATTTCTGTATGGTACTCTTACTGAGCAATGTCATTTACCCATGCATATTAACACCTGCTCTGCAGTGTACAGATACTTAGAATAAGGAATCTTCTAGTTCTAATCTTGACTTAGGCCCTAACTATGTGACCCTGGGCAAGTCACTTAATTTTTCTGTGCCTCAGTTCCCTACTCTGTAGAATGGAGATAATTGTACCTGCCTTGGGAGGATCAAATGAAATAACACGGGAAAGGTTTGACAAACCTTAAAGAGCGAGATCAACTCTGGTTGTTATTATCATGATCTTAGAGTTGGGGGGGCCCACTAACAGGTTGAATGACTTGACCAGGTAACACAGCCTGTATGCATCAGAGGGAGGATTTCAACTCAGGTCCTTCTTATTCCAAGGCTGCCTCACTACCCAGTAGGCCACACTTTCACACAGTCAACTTGTATCATTCTCTGTGTTTGTGATATGTCCTCCCTACTGTCCTATGAATTTCTGTATTTCTGAATTACTCTACAAAGAATTTCAAAGCTGGGAAGGCCCTGAAAACACAGAATGTCAGAGCATGGATGGCCCTTAGAACACAAGATGTCAGAGCTGGGACAGAGGTTAAGCTATAGAATGTTAGAACTTACATTTCCAGAACTAAAAAGAATCCTAGAACAAAGAATGTTAGAGCTAAAAAAAAAAATCCTTGAAACAGAGGTCCTCCAACTTTTTTGTCTCAATATCCCTTGATTCTCTTAAAAATCATTGAGGACACTAAAGTGGTTTTGTTTAGGTGTGACACTATCAATATTTGCTTCTTTAAAAGTAAATTGATAAGCAGCTAGGTGGCGCAGTGGATAGAGCACCAGCCCTGGATTCAGGAGGACCTGAGTTCAAATCCTGCCTCAGACACATAACACTTACTAGCTGTGTGACCCTAGGCAAGTCACTTAACCCCATTGTCTAACAAAAAAAAAAAACTAAATTGATAAATTAAAACTAAGTATTTTTAAAATATTTATTCATTCATTTTAAAATAACAAGAATAAACCCATCACATGTTAACATAAGTAATGTTTTTATAAAAAATAACCATATTTTCCAAAACAAATAAAATTTAGTGACTAGAGTGGCCTTATTTTACACATATTTGTAAAACTTTTGAGCGTCAGGCTCAGTAGAAAACAGCTGACCTCTCCTACCTGCTTCTATATTTAGTCTGTTGTGATCTGTTATTTTGGTTGAAGTGTATGAAGACAATTCAACCTCACACAGACAGGTAGTTGGAAAAGGGAAGAGTATTTTAATAGGCAAGTCATTTCTTAGTATTATTATGAAAATAAGGGGCAGCTAGGTGGCGCAGTGGATAGAGCACTGGCCTGGAGTCAGGAGCACCTGAGTTCAAATCTGGCCTCAGACCAAACACTTGACACTAGCTGTATGACCCTGGGCAAGTCACTTAGCCCCAATTGCCAAAAAAAAAAAAAAAAAAAAAGCTCAATCAATTATTATGAAAATAGTTTTGACCTCATGGATACCTTGAAAGGTATCTCAGGGATGGTCCTCAAACCACACTTTGAAAGCCTCTATTAATTGTAGAATATAATCATAGCCATCACCAGATGGGACCCTAGAGATCATATAGCCTATCCCCCTTGCTTGATTTATGAGGAAACTGAGGCCCAGGATGGGGCAGTGACTTGCCCTAGGTCACCCAGTAACTCAGTGGTACCACCAAGAGGAGAGCCTGGAATTTCTGACTGAGCCCAGGGAGCTTCTATACACTGGCATCTAATTAGGAAAAGAAGGCAAACAAGCAGGGTAATTGGAGAATAAGACAATGTATGATCAGGTACCGACTGTGCAGTGAAGCTGCTTAGAGACCCTGTGAAGGACTGCTGGGGGATGTGACCATCAGGGCCAAAGGAGGCGACTGATGGAAGAACTCTGCAAGTCCAGAGTGCTCAGACAAACCCAAGGGCCACCGGCTTGGGTTGGCAAGATTTTCCTTCACTTGCTTACTGTGAGGCTTCGATGACTCTAGTGAGGACGGCTTCTGTTGATCACAACCCTCGTTCTTCTGGGGGCTTTCTGAAAATTTCTAGAAGCACTTTCATCACATTCTTGCTAGGAGGCTGGTACTGTGAGTAAATGACCCTCATTTTACAGATAAGGAAACTGAGGCTCAGAGAGCAGTAATTTGCCCAAAGTCAGCAATGTTAGAAATAGTAGAGCCCAGATTCAAACCCAGGTCTTTTGACCCGTACCTTCAGCCAGCAATCCACGATGCCTCTTTCCTTTCTCTTTTGATTCTT